CCCCCCCCCCCCCCCCCCCCCCCCCCCCAAAAAAAAAAGCTTCACCAAAATATTGTTGGATTTGATCATGACTATCTTTGTTCTTGTAGCAGGCTTCAGTGACTTTAAGCATGGCAACAAGCCTAGGGCACAGGCTACTCTTACTGTCTGCTTGGGTTTACTAACTTCACCCTGCTAATAAAAGTAGCTTTCAAAGGAGTCTTTGACTGATTGGAGTCTAGCAGAATTTGGCTTCTGCGGAATTTATGATTTCTTTTCCTTTCCTTCTGAAGAGGTAATGGTGAAGAACATTTTGCAGCCTGGAGCGATTTTTATCCTAGCAAAGAATCCTGTCTAGTTTGTGCTCTTTAGCCCTGGCTAATTAAAGGTCCCTAAAAAGGGCCTGTGTGTGTGTGTGTCTCTCTTTCTCTCTCAGGATTCTGTATTGCCTCAGCTGCTTGCCACCTGGCTGTGAAAGTCATACTGGCTCTAGTTTGCTGCTATAGAGCTTGCAAAAACTACTCTCAAGTATGAGCATTTTCCCTTTAATTGTCTCATTTTTATTCTCTGCCAAAGATTCCCCCAGCTGGGACTCTGGTCGTGGAGGTAATGGCTATATGAATGGCTATGCCCGAGACAGCCGGATGAATGGCTATGACCGTGATCGCAGTGGGTTTGGATCTAGAGGAGGATCTGGACGTGATGACAGAGGTGGGCGTGGGGGGCATTCAAAAATAGAGGGGAGAAAAAACCTGTCATCTTTCAGCCAACAGCACTCTTTCATATTTGGTGTGGAGACTGTTCTGCTGTAATACATAAATTAATCACCTGCCTCCCAAAAATTCCACTTGGTGTTTAATGCCAACAGATATGCTGAGATTCAGAATGAAAGCCTGTAGCTTCTAAAGTTGAACTCTTACTCTTTTTTTAGAGCGGTGCGAGATGCACTGCTTACTCTTAACTTAGTAATTAAAAGATAAGGTGTGGGTGGTGGGGTGGCTTGTTTGTGTGCATCTTTTGTATCCAGCTATATTTTATGAGACCTACAGGCGTTTTGAATGACATTAGGGCTCCCTTTTTGCAAGCTGCTGATGTAAGAAGGTGCCCACCTTTGAAGACTTTACCATCTAGCTGAGAAGGACTCTGTGAGTGTCTCTGCTGCGGCTCCTGATCTGAAATTGGGGTCCTGGTTTAGGTCATGAAGGAAATCCAGGATGGATTAGAGAGGTTAAATGCATCTTGGTCTTAATCCAGTTCTTTAACCACAAGACCAGTCCTGTTTTAAGTGGGGGTTTTTTTGTGTTGTTTTTTTTTCCCCTTAAATTTTCCAAACTCCTTAATTTGCAGTGTACATGAAGATGCTTTGTACAACAAAATACTCTATCATTCTCATCTGGTAGGTGTGCAGTTTCCAGTACATGCAGTATTTTGTTCAATATCTTCTTAGTTATTGGCCTACATCTTAGTGTAGTCACTCCCCCCCCCC